AATATGTCTGGAGCTCAAGACAATAAGACGGGATAATAAGTCGGACTCTCGAGATAATAAGTCGGGATCTCGCGATAATAAGTCGGGATCTCGCGATAATAAGTCGGGATCTCGAGATCCCGACTTATTTTCTCGGGATCTCGCGATAATAAGTCGGGATCTCGAGATAATAAGTCGGGATCTCGCGATAATAAGTCGGGATCTCGCGATAATAAGTCGGGATCTCGAGATCCCGGCTTAGTTTCTCGGGATCTCGCGATAATAAGTCGGGATTTCTTTCCTTTTTTTTTTTTTCTCCATGTCCCCTTAGGGGCTCCGTACATTTCAGACAATAAAAAAACATTAAAAAAAGATCCTGAGTGACTCATCCCGTGGCATCAACATATTTTTACACTTGAATATCTGTAACTTCTTAGATTGCGGCTAATCTGCAGTCCCGACTGGCAAGGTCGTCGTTCGATAAGAATTGGTAAGTAGATATCCGAAATTTATACACTAGCCAAAAACATAGTTTAGCTTTGGGGTAAAAGTAACAATGCTCTGCTGTGAAGTTTTCAGAGTGTTGCAGAGAAGCCACACATGGAGTGTCCTGTAGAGATGGTGATGCCTCTGGTGTCCAACCCGGGCCACGTCTGTGTCACAAACGAAAACCTTTACTTCCAGCCCCTTAACGGACATCCGGTGAGTCCACAGTTGCAGCGGCCGGCTGCTCGCGAAACGATGCCGCCTGACAGAAACGCCGGTTAACCTCGCGTGTCATTTCAGCAGCACGTGATTCAAATCAAACTGAACGAAGTCAGGAGGATCTACAAACGGCGGCACGGGCTCAGGCCTCTGGTGAGCAGCGCTGGACAGCTTCTTTAAAAATAAAACATCACTCGCCGTCGCGTCCATGACTACAGAAAGATTGTAAAACGTGTGTGTGTTTGTATTTATTCAGGGGCTGGAGGTGTTCTGTACTGAGAATAACTTGTGTTCTGACATCTACTTGAAGTTTTACTACCCAGCCGACCGAGATGAAATCTACTATTACATTGCTACGTTTCTGGGTAAGAAAACGCAGGAAAGCTTTTACTATAGAAGAGCCAAGCGTTCGTCATCAGTAAGCAGAAATGGAAACAACTGTGGGTGACATTAGTCCGCACCTCAAAGATGATTTAATAATGGATAACAAAATCCCAGGAAATAATTTTTTGCCTGTAGGCATCAGATTATACAACACCCAACTCTGAATGTCGTGAAATTTATTCTGAACTCATTTATAGATTCACATATTTCCATATTTGCTTTTTTTTTTTCATTTTATTTATATTTTGTATTTCGGTCATGTCTAAATTTCTTGTAATTTCACATTTATGTCAATTTTTTTAATCCTTAATAGATGTTTTTATATTTGCTAATATGTTACTCTTTGGATGGGAGCAGCTTGTCAACAAATAAGCAATTTTTCTTGGGGGATCAATAAAGTATATTTTGATTCTGATGTTTATGACTAAAAAACGAGAGCATGAGAAATCATTTTAAAGATTACTGGCAAAATCCACCTGAAACACAAATTTGAGAAGAAAAAAAATACAACAAAGTTGAACTTAGGTATTTCATCTTTATATAATAGGAGAACATTACGTTTTTTTATCTGCACCTAAAAAACATTGAATAAATGATCTTGTTCTCAATCACACCTGACAATCATTATATGTGTTTATTAATGCATATACAGATTCTACATCTTGCATTTTGACGTGTTAGTTGTAATGTTTACCTGGACAATAAGCCATTAAGAAACGTAAAACTTTAAAAAGTGGAGAATGTTCCTAATGCCATCAGACATTTAGACTTTTTTTTTTTTTATATGCATGATTGAAGTTCTATTTATTTATGTGAAAGCAGTAGGGTTTAAAATGTACTGTAAAAAATACAGGAGAAAAGATCCCTTATTGCTGGTGTTGAAATGTTCAAATGAATCCGATGTCATTGAGTTTTCCTCTGTTTGGCTCAGAGAATCACATCAAGGAGCACACGGCAGAGAGTTACATGCTGCAGTGGCAGCGCGGCCATCTCAGCAACTATGAGTATCTCCTCCATTTGAACAATCTGGCCGATCGCAGCTGCAACGACCTGTCCCAGTACCCCGTCTTCCCCTGGGTCATAGCCGACTACACCAGCACGCAGTTAGGTGGGTCGGTGTTCCTGTTGCAGGTGGAAAACAAGCAGGAAATGTGTGGAAAAACCAAAGCTGTAACAGAGGTTTTTATTTATTCAAGGCTTTCTTCTTTTTATTTTTATAAGATTTGGCAAATTCAGACACATTCAGAGACCTGAGTAAACCCATCGGGGCCCTGAATCAGGAGCGACTCGACAGACTGCTGGTGAGAGGTTTAAAGTTGTTTTCTGAGTTTTAAGCTCTTACTGTGTGGAAGGAGACCCCCACCCATCCCTCGGTAACCTCTGAGTGGTTCTGCTCTCACAGGCTCGGTACGGAGGCATGCCCGAACCGCGCTTCATCTACGGGAGCCATTACTCCTCTCCAGGATACGTCCTGTTTTACCTCGTCAGAGTCGGTACGTTGAAGCTCTAAGCTCAAAACTAATCAGCATTTATAACAATTCACGATAAAATGAGTGATACAATTGCAGCTCCTTTAATTGTAAATATTTGATAAAATATAGCGCTGCAATTAATGATTATTTTAGTAATCGATTAATCGATTGTTCTGTCGATTAATTGAAAAGAACAGCACGTTCTAAAGATGTTTCATTTAACCACTTAGGACTTTTTAATGCAATATTAGAAATATATTAAAAACGCAATTGAACAAATGATTCAGTTCCTTTTTTAAATAAGAAAAGAAACTTTTTATTGCCTAAAATGCAATACTATAACATTCTTTCAGTAAATCTGAACCGGGTAAAGCTAACAGTATACAACCTGATGAATTCTGGGTAGAACAGATTTATAGACAAAGGGGTTATTTATTGTTGATGCAAAATAAACTCATATTTTGTACAATTTTGGATTAAATACGTTTTTTGAGTCTTTATATTCTAGTTAAAGATTAAGCGATTACAAAATTACCTGAAGATTATTTCAGTAATCGATTAATCCAAAGAATCGTTTCAGCTCTAGATGCAAATAAAGTCAGATTTAAAGATTTTTCTGAAATGTAACAGAGCCGTCCTCTCTCATCAGCTCCAGAGCACATGCTGTGTCTGCAGAACGGCCGCTTTGACCACGCAGACCGCATGTTCAACAGGTAGCATTACTCCAACTTATCAACATGCAGAAAGCACACATCTGTATGGTTGTTTTCTTATATTAACCTCAACTAAAATTCTCCATTCATGAAACTTTCCACAAAAATTGCACATTTTTTTATTCTGTTTACTTTTGATGATCATCAGCCGTTTGTGTGTAAAATAAGAAAAATCAAGTGTTTTCATTTTTCTGATAGAATATTTACTTTGGTGCTTTTATTTCCTGCAGCATCAGTGAAACATGGAAAAACTGCTTAGAGGGAGCAACAGACTTTAAAGAGGTAAAAACTGGACGTGTCAAAAGGCAACATTTATTTTACATAGAGTACTGGCAGGACTAGTTCTCCTACTCCTTTCTGGGTTTCCTCAGCAGTTTGTGTTAAAACAGCGCCCCTGGTGGAACATCGGAGGCAAGGAAACATGAGATCAAAGCAGCTAAATAATTTTTCATTCGTTCATTATTAAATATTTCTTTGCATGTTTTTCATCCAATCTAAGCTGCAACCAGCAGAATGTTACTGAGAATATTGCTTTGTCTTGGCGTTTTTTTGGGGGTTTTTTTGCCATCGAAGAGGACTTTAGAGAACAGTTTTACAAAAGATTTGCTCCATTGATTTTGACACTTTAGGGGTAAAAGAGGTTATAGTTTGCAAATGCAGCGTCTCTGGAGGAGTGTGTTATATCTTTATGTGTCCTTACTATTTCAGCTGATCCCAGAGTTTTATGGAAATGACTCCAGCGTCCTGGAAAACAGACTGAGTCTTGATTTGGGCCGAAAGCAGAATGGAACGTTAGTCGGTGACGTTCTTCTCCCTCCATGGGCCTCGGGTAAGTTAACTTTTGTCTGCGTATCCCAGGCAGAGTGACCTGGAAAAACCTGGAATTCGATTTAAGGATTTTCAATGTTTACTTAAATAAGGGGAAATATTTGAACTTATTAACCAGGTGACAATGAAGAACTATTTCTCATTTACACTGTAAATAAAAAAATAAGTTTTTATTTTTCTGACTTTATTTCTAGTCGTATTTGTGTAAAACATTGATCAATCTCGTTTACAGTCTGTTTTGTACAAGTTCAATGCTTACATCCTGACAAATGCAGAAATATCTGACATACACATGTTGCAGTTTTATGATATTGCTCCTGGAAAACTGGCTTAAAGAGATTTTCTAACGCTGAGCCTTAAACGTGGGGGAAAATATGGAACTTTAAAATGCATAGGACACCTCGTGTCAAGTCGATGAAGTCAAAGTGTATTTTATCTTCTCTCCAGATGCCAGCGATTTTCTTAAAAAGAACCGGCTTGCCTTGGAGAGTCAGTATGTATCAGAGCACCTTCATGAATGGATCGACTTGGTGTTTGGATTCAAGCAGAGGGGCAGTGAAGCTGTCGAAGCTCATAATGGTAACACTCACTTTTAAAAAAAGAAGTAACTTTAAACCCAAACTATTCAGAAAATTACATGTCTATTTTTACTTTCTTTCTAGTTTTTCACCCGTTGACCTACGAAGGCGGGATGGACTGTGACAGGTGTCAAAGAAAATCGGCTGAAAATGATTGTTGTTATTTTTCTACGAGGTTCATCACTAACCACTCTCCCCTTCTCCCCGGGAAGCATCGAGGACACGGACCAGAGAATAGCCATGCTGACGCAGATCCTGGAGTTCGGCCAGACGCCCAAGCAGCTCTTCACGAGCCCTCACCCCCAGAGGATCACACCCCGGTTCCAGAACCTCACGCGGAGCTCCAGTGTCAACTCTGCTGTCGGCGAGCTGTCCCCTGGTAATGCTGCTGCTCACGCATTCAGATTCCTCAGCTTCAACTGTGTATTATTAATACACGTCTGCCGTTTTCCAGTAAATCTGCTCCAGTAAAGCATTCTGATTTCAAAGTAAATGTCGACGTTCACACACGGTGGCAAACCCACAAAGTGGATGTGAAGTTAAGGCCATGTTGCAATCACAAACTTGAATATCAAACGGCGTAGTGCAGGATTGTAGAGTTGAAAGAAAAAGTTTAATTTATGAAAAATGTTCACAAAAGGAAAAAGAAAAGAATCTGCAGCGGTGTTACACCCTTAAATGTTTCGTCGTATTTGACCTCAATATGGCTTGTGGCAAACCAAACTTCGTACTGCTTCTAGTATCACCACTTTTATGGAAATTTCACAACTATTTGCTGCTTTGTGTTCCTCTATCATACAAAATCCTGTTAATGCATTGAAATGTATTATTGTAACACGATAAAATGTAGAAAGGTGTGAAACATTTTCTTCCATGTGCTGTGTCAGTCTCTCTGTGTGAGGACTCGTCGTTTGAAGACCTGACTGAGGAAAGCAGGAGGATGGCCTGGGCCAACATGGCAACTCTGAAGAGGATCTCCAGCCACAAAATCCATAAGGAGTAAGTCTGCTTGCTTTCTTCTCGGCAACTGTAATAAAAGAGTCATAAACGTAACGCGGTGGAGCACAGAACTGAAAGTTTAGTTTCAGACGTTTGGACTGCAGGCAGCATCGTCTGCTTTGGAATATTTCAATAGTTTTGTGACGACAGATTTGTTTTCATGAAATATTTAGAAATAAATCTCCTAAATATATACACTTTTCACTCTAAACATGTAACTAATTCTGCCTTTTAAACGTCCAGAGCCGTGACGGGCATCGCTGTGACTCGAGACGGAGCTTCGATCTTCTCTACATCTCAAGGTTTGGAGAAAAACAAAAAACCTGCTTGGTGCAGCGTGTTGTTTGGTAGCTAAGCAACCGGAAAGTTTTCTCCTCCATCAAATTTAAGTTGAACTTAACATGTCTCACTTTTCTGTCAACTTGATGCCTTTATTCCAGACTCAACACTTAAAATGTTTTCCAAAGAGCTGAAGGAATTCCAGAGGAGCGTCTCCTTCTCCAACATGGTACCCAGCTGGATTTTCTGTCCGTTTTCCGTCGCATCAAACAGTCCAGCTCTGTGAACAGTTAACCTCTCCGCTGTTTTCCAGGCGTTATCTTCTTGTTTGATGCTGGCCGACGGGAAAACTGTGTTGTGTTCTTCATGGGACAACAACGTGTAAGTGCAGTGAGTGAGTGAGTGAACGCTTGATGAATTTTACTTGATGACTCTTTCCTGGCCTCCTCTGTCTTCCCTGGCAGATACTTCTACTCCATCCCTTATGGCCGGAGGCAGGACACACTGATGGGTCACGATGACGCCGTCAGTGAGATGTGCTGGTTTGATGATAGGCTCTATACAGCGTCCTGGGATTCCACTGTTAAGGTACCTTTTTTTTTTTTTTGTTTCACCTCCAAAAAGGTATTTTAAACGCCACAAACGCTTTACATTCTGATGAGCATTCCACAAATTAAAGACGCACCGATTGCAATTTTCTGGCTGACTTTAAAAGCCTCACTTGACTATTTTGATTTATTATTTCTTTGTTCTGGTGTTAATTTGCAGGTATGGCAGTGTTCCTCTAAAAACCAACCCAGCAACAAAAAAAATACATTTGAGCTGCTGGCTGAGTTGGAACATGATGCTGGGGTGAGTCGCATATCTCTGCATCAGTTTACTGTATTTTATGGCCTCTATATTTTATTGTTGGGAAAAAAATCCAACATTATTTGTACTAGAATATGTTTCATGCTTTTCATTGCAGGATTGTCAGCTAAATCTTTCTTCCTTGCTGTCTTACGTTCAGGTAAACACAGTCGCTCTGAATCCTGCTGGAACTCTGCTGGCGTCCGGCTGTAAAGACGGGACGGTCACCATCTGGGACACCAGCAGCTACCAGACTCTGCAGCAGGTTCACTGCCATGCTGGAACCATCCACCACTCCGCCTTCAGTCCTGGTGTGTCACAAAATGCAGCAATATGATTAAGCCTTAGCGTTGATCAAATCTGCACACAAACCTCTTGGTTTTATGAAGTACTTTCTCTTATTTAGAGAATATTCAAGTTTCTCCTTGAATATATATGTTTAGAAGCATGGGTAACTCAAAGCTAGTCTCTGGTTGTTACTTTCCTCAGACAGCAGACACGTTCTCAGCGTTGGTGACGACTGCTATATGAAGGTGATGGACGTTCAGACTGGAATGATGATCTCTTCAGTTAAAGCTGAGGAGGAGCAAAGGTAGGAAACATGACGTCGCTACACCTGAAGCTTTTTAACAGTTTTTAAGTGGCTGGGTGCTGCTAACATAAACGTGCCTTGGAAAAGTTTTCATACCCGTGAACCAAAATCTATAATGTATTTTATGTGACAGACCAACACATTACGAAGTGGAGGGGAAGCACACATGGTTTGTAAATAAAAACCAAAAGCTGTGGCATGCATTCGTATTGATCTTTACTAAAACGCCCATAAATAAAACTGAGTTCAACCAGTCAACCTGAGAAGTCATCTGATTAGTTTCTAGAGTTCAGGGTTGGGTTCTAAAATAATAAGCCAATGATAACTCTGGAGTAGCTGCAGAAATCCACAGTGAAAAAAGAAAACTGTAAGAAATCTTGTCTGTACCTCACATTTGTTTTGCATTTGTTGGGAGATTCAGGACGATCCTGGAAGAAAAGCTGCTGGACTGCAAAAGATCTGATTGGTACAAAGGATCAGAACTAGAGCTTTCTAGGTTAAATCACATTCATGGCCCAGTCAAAGTCCATCCAGAGCCAAATATAATTGAGTATCTTAGATAAGACTTGAAAAATGAAAGTTCAGTCTGACTGAACTTGAGCTATTTTGCATCGAAGGAGCCAAGTACTAAACAAGGTCACACTTTTCAGATTCTCACAGGAAATATGATGACACTGTATTTATCTTTACATCACAGTTCTGTCCTACTTTGAGTTTGGACTCAACAATCCACATTTTGTAAGGTGACAAAATGTGGAGAAGTTTATGGTGTGTTGACGTTTTTTTTTTTTTTTTTGCTGTTTTGAGTAGCTGCCTTATCTATGAAGGCCCTTATCTGTGGGACTTATCAGCGTCTCTGCGTTTTGCAGATGTTTCTGCTGGGACGGGAGCTCGGTGCTGTGTGGAGGACGCTCTGGTAACCTCCTTCTATGGGATCTGCTCAGCAACACGGTCATCAGCAGAATCCCCGCTCACTCTGGTACAACTCATCTTTCCGAGTTAACCACAACTTTACATGAAGGATAGTAATAAAACAATCCACCCTGATTCACTGTCATCATACACAATAAAGGCAGAGAGACTTATTAAAGATTCGGGTCAAGAAGGCAGATTTTGTGTTATTTTACGCCAAACGGTGAGCTGATTAATAAATATAAGCGCTTGCTTTTCCAGGTGCTGTCACCGCCATGTGGATGAATGAACTGTGCAACAAGGTGATCACAGGTGGAGAGGACAAGCAGATCATGTTCTGGAGGCTGCAGAGTTAAAGGTCTCTCTCTGCAGCGACGGAGACCAAATCTCCTAGTTAAATGCACAGGACATGTTTCCCTCTGATCATGTGACCCAAGTACAAGGAACAGACTGATCTGAGATTTTACCCTTAAAGTATGCCAGAAAGTTGGGTGGAGGACGTAATGTTACCATAATGTTAATCGTTGTCAGTTATATCGAAATACAAACGTGTCTAAATGCAGTGTTTGCTTGAGAGCAGGAAGCTAAAACAATTTAATTGCCTTATTTTCAATTGTTTTTAATCCTGTCATTTATGGATAGTTGTGTGGACTTTATTTTTTATTTTTTTTAGTTTATTCTGAGGAACAGCTGTAAACCCAAGAAGCTTGTATAACTCATAGGATGGATGTTAATATTTTTTTTAATCATCAATGATGTTTCTAATTCCTTTGCTTTATGTGAATTTTATTGTTTAATGTGGATCCAGTGCTTTATGCTGCTCAGGTGTTGCTACAGAAACACAAAGTTACCTCGAAAGTGGTCGTCCAGTTTTTGTTTTTAGCTCAACTGAAAGACAATACATGGAAAACCTAGAGGGATACTGGAAGGAAAAAAAAACTTTATTGCCTGATCTCATGCACACAAGACATGGTAAGCACAAAATACTATCTCATGCGGACTGTTAAGTTTATATTATTCTTTTTTTTCCTTCCATCTCCCTTTAGGGACTCCCTAAGCAAAAGTAGCAGTTTAAAAAAAAAACATTATTTTATCTTATCCATCCATACAAACTGAGAGCCTATAAATCTTTAACCACAAGCAAACAAATGTAGTATAGCTAAGTAGCTAGCATCATATGATAACTGCGAAATAAATGGAGAAATAAAATGATGCTAGTGGCCTGGTAAAAACCAGCCTCTTGTTCTATGTCTTGTTTCATGCAGAGGGTTTAGATTTAGGAACAATTACTTGCTGGTGGCTTGAACTTTGTTGAAGTTATTTGGCTATTTTCCTCAATCTCTAAGGTTAAGCTGTAAAGTGACAGTTCAACGCTAGAAGCTTACGTGAGACTTTTTCTGCTTGCTGATTGGTCCGTTTGGAAATAAATCCACTTCAATTGGAGAAAACTCAGACGGAGCTCTGAAGAGAGGTTATATCGCGTAGCGAAGATGCTAACTAAAACTTAAATTTTGCGTCCAACTTATCAAACTATCGTATCATTATCGATGCACCTTATCAAGTCCACGGGCTCAAATCTGTTACTTTAATAGTACAGCACAGGGGAATTACGGATCTGACGCAACAACGCACGGAAAGGGCGTGGCCTCAATATCCTATCAAGCGGTGAGTGAGGAATAGCATTGGTGTGCTTATCTGTACCCGTCTGTTAAGATTCTTTCCAGTGGAATCTATTGTAATCTTATGTAATCAACTAATTTCTAGTAAAACAGTCTGGGAGACTAAGGAGCTGCCACCAAATTGACAATAAACCTGCAGAAAATTTAAACCATGACAAAGGTCATGGGTAAAAACTATTAAATGACTCAATAATTTGCTCTTAAGTTCATTTTAATGGATTTCTGTCTCTTCAGGATTTGAGAAGGTTAATCAGAATACTTGTTACAATAGACTTGAATTTTAATTTAAATTCTACTTATATTTTTTTCTTTTTTTTTGTCCTAAATGTCAAAGGTAAATAATCAGAAATCTTAGGAGCTGTCACAAATCTGCACCCTCATTTGTGTTGCAATAATCAAAGTTCAAATTTACAAAACTGTACATGATGACATTTAACTTTAAGCAACTTCCGTCTTTTATTGTTCCTCTTCTGCACCTTTCTGTAAACAGAAGACAACCAGACATGAGCGTTCAGATGGTTTACATTGAACTAATCACTGGCATTAACATCATCTTTAGAGCTTTTTAATGACATATGAATTATTACTTTCCAGAGTGGAATGATCATACAGCAAAAAAACAAATGTGAAATTAAGTATTTTTGTCATATCCATAAAGGAAACGAGTTCATTTCATCTAAGTCAGAGGCACACTATTGGTTTCTTTTTTTTTTCTTTTAAAAAGTTATTTGTTTTGTAACAATTTCACCCTGCAAATTCTCCATCGGTTTGCGTGTCATGAAGATCTCACCTTGAGCTTGTCGAGCAGCCCCGCTTTGCGCAGGTTGCCAAATGCTTTGAGGAGCTTCGGCGTTGGGGGTCTCTGTCCAAACAGAGTCAGACCTTTCGGCTTCTCATCCTTGGTTGGTGCCCCTGCTGCAGCTTTGGTTTTAACCAGTTGCCTTTAAGGATCGCAGAAAGCACATGTGAGCAACGCTCAGCGGATTCTTGGCTGCATAAACTTCTGCAGAACAGGACTGCTTCCCCGGAAAGCGACTCGCTCACCTGCCCTTCTTGGCCAAAACCTTCTGGGACTCGGGGTAGTGGACCAGGATGTCGAACAGGTCTTTCTTTTCCAGAACAAACAGGTTCGCAAAGCCGTATGCTCTCACGTTAGCTGTCCGCCGGTTCCCTCCGTCTTTGGCAGACTGCAGCAAGCTACAGGCAAACGCACAGCAGTAAAGTCTTACTGGATAACTGTTCCAGCGGTGCAGCAATGTACCTAGAAAAAATAAATCCTGTCCTCATAGCTGCTCCTGCTGTGGTTGAGAAGGACAAAGATCCAACAATCTGGCGAAGATGTTATGCTTAGAATCAACATGAGGTTTTCAGATGGAAACAATAATGGTACAAGCTGGCAAGCATGGTGGTGGCAGATCATGCTGTGGGACTTTTCTGCATTGCACAAAATGTAATGATGAAAACAGAGGACTGTCTCTAAAACTCTGCAACTGAACCTGAAATGGTTGAAATTTGCTGCAAAGTAGCTTTGTTTTATTTCAAGATTTAAGATATTTGCACTAGAAACTAGACAAAAAATACTTTGTAAGATTTTGTGTTTTTGTAGCGTATTAAAATGAGCTCAAACTGTGGTCAGATATCCACTGGAAGCTACTTTTCTCCATAAATTTTTAAAGGGTATATATTTGAGCCGGTATGAATGAGTTTGATCCTGCATTAAAGGAATTTCAAATTTGTGCACCAAATGATCTTTCTTTTTTAAAACTTCACTGAAATTTGCTGTGTTCACTGCAAAAACAAAATCTTACCAAGTAATTTTGGTCTAGTTTCTAGTGCAATTATCTTAACACACTTGAAATGAGACAAAACTGACTTACAAGTAACTTTTCAGCAAGACATAGTCAATACTCTCTTAATATTAATGAAAAAGTGCTAGTTCCATTTGCAGATTATTTCTCTTATAACATGGGGAAATGTCTTGTTAGAAGTGAAGTAATCTGCCACTGAAGCTGGTATTAATTAGTCAATATTAAGGAGTTACTGACAAGTTAAAACAATTTCCTATTTCTTGCTGAAAAGTTACTTTTCTTAGCTAGTTTTATCTTACTTCAAGTGGAATATTTCACAGACATTTTCACTCCAAACTAAACCGGAATTACTTGGTAGGATTTTGTGTTTTTGCAGTGTAATCTTTCCAGCCTGCTAAAGTGCCGATTCACATCTTTAGTTCTGTGTTGGCCGAGTCGTCCCAGACCTGATTTCTCCGAACACGCAGCCGGCCTTCAGCGTTACAAACACGATGCTGTTGTCAGGCCCTCCCACCACCTGCACCGCTCCGCTTTTGATGATGTACATCTCCTTCCCGATGTCGCCCTGCAGAGGGAGAAGGCAGGACGTCAGCTCGCGGCTCGGTCTTAACCTCATCGTAGTGCGACTCGCTCTCACCTTCCTCACCACAAAGTCTCCTGGCAGGTAGATGATGGACTTCAGCCTCAGTAACATGTCCACCAACATCTGCTGGTCGCAGCCCTGAAACAGACGCCAGTTAAAGCGACGTCAGTTCAGTTGGCTCAGATTTTGATCATTTTCTGCAAACGGGCCCTTCAGTTTAAAACAACGTATTCTTTATTTTTCAGTCTGAGTCACCTGAAACAGCTGGATCTTTTGGAAGGTGGCCAGGTTTATATCCACAGCGATGGCAATTCGCATCACCAGAGGCATCTTGTCCAGAAGCTCCGTCTCATCTGGAGAGGTCGAGATAGCCTTCTGATTCTCACAGGTGTGCAACGGCTTAGCATTTATTTTCAGTCTTTCACTGATTGTAGAAGTGCATTAGTTCACACCTAGCATCCCCTGAGAAGCCCAGGTGTAGTTGTACCAGGTGCGGACTCTGTTCTGGACCAGCTTTGGGATGGTGTACGTGTTCATGTACTCCACGCAGCCGTCCATCGACGCGCGAAAGTACGCCTGAGCTGCCGTGGCCGCTCCTATGACGTCTCTCATCTGGAGGGAAGAGACAGGAACTCTCCTTAATCTTCCAGATTTTTCCTTCTCTCTGGGGTGAAAATAAAAAAGTATCCCACCTGTCCAATCAGGCTGGAGAACACAAAGACGCCGACGAAGAAGTTGGTCATCTGAAACATGATCTCGAACAGAGTCACCGGCTCCGGGAGGCCCCCGATGTTGATGAGGCTTCGTACTGCAAAGTAATAACAGCGCAGGTACCTGGCAGGAAACGGCAGAGAAACGACTTTCATCTGGTCTGTTGTAAACTTGCTTGTGTTTATGGAGCGGCTCAGTTGATTTAAGGTAACAAACCCTTAAAATTCATCTTGTACTCAAGCTGAATTATTGATGCCGTTATTGCTGGTTGAATTATTTATAGGAAAGAAAGAATATTTAAAGTGAAGGGTTAGCAGACACGGAGTTCATTCTAAGAAGTGATGCGTAAAATCACTTGCAGTTTCTAAGAATCATCTGAATAAATCACAAAGGGTTTTTTAAAGCATAGTTTAGATTAGTTTAGAACTTCTTTGGGACTTTTATGACGTCTATGAAATCTGCATATCAGGTAGAGAGGTCATGACCTTAAGATCAAGTGCAACTCAGTTCTGCAGTATGAAAATTATCCAAAGATCAATGATTAAGATAATTAACCTATTCCAAACTTTAATGGAAGGAGTCATTACATATTTTCCAGGCATTTTACTGCATAATCAAGTAACTATGCCACCTTATTGTTATGAAAATGCCTTGTATATAAAAAAAATAACTTAAAAGAAATCTGAAATCGCGTCACAGCAATATCAGACGCCTTGAAATACGACTCTGTCTCTTTAAGAAGCTCTTATTATTTCCGTCACTCCCCCTTCAGAACATCATCACAAACGATGCTTCCACATTTTACTGTTTACAACCGCTCTTGTAAACGACCAGTGGCAGCACCAGACTGCTGCCACTAGTCTGAGGGGAAGCCGAGTCAGCAGGAGCGGAGGAGGGATAATAACTCATGGAGATTGCCAAGAGACTTGGCCACCGAAAAACAGGCCCAAGAAGAGTCACGGTTTTTTATGCTTGTGATTTCAAATTTGAACTTTTCATAGCCACCTCTGTTTTTTCAGTCAGGACCACATGGGCTCAGGCTGCAGTTGTATGAACAAGAAAATAAATTTAAAAATGGGAACTAAAAAAAAAAAAAGTGTAATTTGTGCTCCAACTTCAATAAATAAAGACTGGTTTATAATACAACAAATTGTGACCTTTACAAGTTATTGCACATACTCCAAAGAGTTCAAAAAAGTTTTTTTTTTTTTCTGTTGGTGGTACTTTTAAGGTGATGGTTAGGGCAATTTGTGCACAAAACCATCCACTATAGCTTTATTAGTACACCTCTTGATTTTATTTCAATGAGATGTTACGTTCTGCTTCAGGCCATCAGCGCCACGTACAGAGGCTTCAAGAAGGGTTGGCACTTTGGATTACGGCCTTAAATGGGGAAAAAAACAAACACAACACTTTCTAAAGGAGTCAAAGATAAAAAGTACATACGCTGTGCCTTTTCCATCATACACCCATGTAGTGGAAGCCAGACCCTGGTGCACTGAGGCGACGTAGTAAGCACAGGCGTTGAGGTGGAGCATGTAGAGAAGGTAACCTGTGGTACGGGCCACTCTGCACCAGACATCCAAATAACCTTTTAATAACACCAGACGTGGGTTCCATCTAATCCTGTGTTTCCCAAAAGCGTAACATGTATTTGCGATGTTTAGCGTTGAGCTTTTACCTCCAGATGTAAGCTTTGGCCATGACACTCTCGAGTCGGTCACTGAACTCAAAGAAAGAGTCTATCTGAAACAGACGGACAGAGGGACTCGCGTAAAGTCGAGTGGGGAAACAAAGAATTTCACATTTCAACCGAGATAACGTAACGGCCACCTACCCTGATGAAGCGGTTGAATCTGTAAATGGAGGAGAAGCCGAAGTGTAGAGAGAGAAGGTCGAAAGGGATGATGCTCAACATGTCTGTCTACAAAAAAAAAAAAAAAGAAATGTTTGAATCTTTTAAAGTTACCTGTCTTAATGAAACAATTACTAAATTATAGAAGAAACTTTGTAATACGTGAAGGGAAAATGTGCTGGTCGAAGTGAACTAAATTATTATTCATTAGTCTCCTACGAAGTTAGGGAATGTGATCAGAGAGAGAAAGATGGAGGTTTTCCATTGAACATTTGCTGCATAGCTCAGGAAAGAAAATCACTTTTTTCACTGCATTAGGTTTGAATATTTATTCAATGTGGAACATGCAGTTACATTCTTACCTTAAATCGATAAGATTTCCGATAATGCACTTTGGTCAGAGCTCTGTCTTTCTGAAAACACAAAAAGTTAATATGAAATACGAATGGTTAAAATGTATCTGGACTTTTAAATATGGGGGTGCACCCAGGATTTGTTTAAAAAAAAACAACTTGGGTTTGGAAGGGTTTTATAGCTTTTCATAATTTTGCAAAAACAAAATAAGACAAAGAAGTCACATTTAGTCTGTTTGGTCATTTTTTGCTGTTTTTGAGATTCTTCTTTGATTCATCTCATAATTATCTAATTTACGGATTTGAAGCAAAATAAATAAAAATATGTTTGTAAGCAACAAAACTAAACAGTCAGATCTTGTTCAAATCAGTTTATTACGTAACTAAAGTTGAAAAAGTGTTTGAATTAGCACCGATAACCTCGACGCGCCATGCCTGCAGTCACAGAAAACGGCGGGAAAAAAACTTTCTGATGACGAAAACTGACTTGGTGTCACTGAATGACCCGTGGGTCGGGTGAACCGCCCAGACAGAGATACATTGGGACTTACAATAATGTCTCCAGCTTTGACAAACTGCAGTCGAGGCTGCCAAACCACGATGTCAATGACGTTGACGACGTCAGAGAGGACGTCGAACAATATCCAGAATGGGTTGACTGTGTCATTATGGTACGGGAAGGCCAGCCGGGCGGGGCAGAACCAGACGTTGTAGTTGTACGCAACGGCCACGACCGTCAACCAGGAGATATACCGACGATCTGGTGAGAGAAACGAAGAGAGACTTGAGGCTTTGCAAGCTGACGATGACCAGATGCGATCTTTGGCGTTGCGTTGCTGGCTCCGTGTACCCGTGAAAGGATCGATGGTGCTTCCCAACACGGTGTCCATCTTCTCCTCAACTGGATGGAAGAGGACGTCAAAGCACGAGCAGCTGATGTACGGCAGAATCTTTGCCTTCCTCCTGGCCTCCTCCGCCAGCCTCTCCTCCTCTGCTTTCTTCTCGGCCTCCAGTCGTTTCTCCTCGTCTTTCTTCTTTTTCTCCTCCGCCTTTCTGGCTGCTTCCTCTGCCTTCTTCCTGTCTTCTTCTTCTTTTGCTATGCGCTCCTCTTCCTTCTGTCTGACGTAGTCCTCTTTCCTCAAAATGGGTGCTGAAAAGGCAAAGGGGTCAAAAAAACAACTCTCCAGAGCCGTTTCCGTGTTACCGACTTGACCCTGATTATTTCCAACACTTACTAACAGGTGGAGTGATTTCTGGAGATGTGGCATAAGGGTCTATACTCTTCTCTTTGAGGATTTCAGTTCGCTCTCTCAAACTCTTTATGACATTCCTCAGGACGTCGTCTGCGTACCTGGAGTAGACCACCGGGGGGTCGTCTCTGAAAACAGGAAGCAAAAAAAAAAAAAAAACAGCTGAAAGAATGAGACACAGAGAAGCTGCTGGTTAAAATATGCTAAATAACATGTGAGAGTCTGATGCAGTGCATAAATATTCCTACCACTTGGACTCGCATCATAAAACACAAACTCCAAGAATTTGTTAATTTTTCCATATGCAAGGAGGCCAAAAAGTTCTATTTTGAATGTGTCAAAATGTAAAAAAGATCAAGGGGTAAGGATAAATCCTGAAATTTATGATTTTTATTTACTTTTATATGAATGTCTCATAATACATATTTATATTGCTGAATGCAACGATGGCAAAAAAAAAAAAAAGAGCTAATTGTTTCAAATCAGCGGTAGCTTACATGTGAATGAAATCTGGCAAAAAATAATTAATTAATTAAAAAAGAATGAGGTCTGAGATCATCCTAAGTCCCAAACGCTGCACTAAGCTGGTAATCTGCTTTTCCTGCTTTAGGAGTCATGCTGCAGGTCACAGGTGGATCAGGGTTTGTGATTCTGTAACATGGACCCACAGAAACTGTTTGAGCTTTTCACGTTTAGTTGTTTACGACTGAATGCAACCGTATAACAATTTACAACAAATGCCACGTTAAGGCATTTTAAAAGACAAACAGATTAAATTCATATCCATTTATAATATGAAAGAAACCAATTATGTAGAGACTGAATTGAAATACATCCAGTTTATTCCATTACAATTAGGCCTTATTGATAGTTTTAGCTACTCAATACCTTTTTAAGCAACCCCTTGCACATGTCATGGCACTTTGTCACCACTTGAGGGCAGACTCAGAAATATCTCTGTCTACCATCGTGAAATCTTTGAAAGCTTGGGATTGTTACTTTAATTTCACACTAGCCTGTCCACACTGATTCATGTGCACAATCATTCACTTTCTAGAGACTAAATTTGGCAGCAGATATCAGTCATCTTGTTTTAAACTCAGGTAAAAGTGATTCTGCTGCACGTAAGACTGGAATCACTGAATCATCTCAAGCTATTTAGCCATAATACACACCAAGGCCCCAATAATGCTGCAACCTGCGTGTGTAGAAAGCACTGCTTATTTGTAACAATAGTGCAGAGATAAAAATAGGTGCTGGAGCTAATTTAGTGAACTCATGTGGAGGGATTTAACCTTGGCCAAGCCTTTTTATACAGTGGCTGATCACTGATTGAGTTGGCTGGCTGCACCTGCAGTACGATCTCGAAGCGTTGGCCTTAAGCAGCACAGGATTTACTTTGTCTTTCTTTGCCTAGGCTTCTTTCTGCCTCGGGGTTATTCTTGGATTTCTATTTTCAGCGACTTTGTCTTTGACTTGTCCACAACTTTTGCTTTCCAGCGCTTTAGACTTTAGGTCAAAGGAAATTCTTCTTGTCAATACAAGTTTTTCTTAGATTAGTACTGGGAACAGATGCTTTCATTGCATTTCTAAGCTTTAGTGATGTGCCATTTTGACTAAGATGCTATAAACACTGACTTGAGCTTTCATGTTTAGTTCCATATGCAGGCAGATAGGTCATTTCCCAGATAGCGCATGATGTTA